TGGTCAACTTAACTAGACACAGCCTTTCTTTAAAGCTGAACTCCAGGCATACATAACAGGCAAAACTTGTTTTTTTTTTTTACAAAGTAGTGTAAGTAGCTGAATGTTACCTGGAGAAGGAAGAAGCAGCAAAAGGCCAGTCAGTTGTGCTCATATGCTATCAAGGGACATGCTGATAGGAGAAAAGAGCAGTGTGACAAAGAGGTAAGCTCATCAGCCTACTGCTACTCCTTTCACTGTCCAGTCACAGACCGACCATGTCCTGTGTAACCTAACTGCAGCAGAGAAATATCAGGTGTGTGCCAGATAAAACTGCACTGTGTGATACGGTGGTGTAAATCTCTGAACTAGAGAGACACAAATACAAATCCTCTGGCAGGTTTTTAGCAATTTTAAATGTAAGTGGCTACTTTTTTTGTTTAATAAAACGTTCGATCGACTACACTATGAGGAGTTCTTGTCCCTTTTATATTTTCTTGATAAAATACTGATCCATGTGGTGAGGACGAGACGACTGTGAGATTACCAACTGTCATCTCCTTCTGCCTATGAATAGGGTAGGTCTGGTGAGTGCGCATCCCAGAGTGGAATTAGACATGGACACTTCGGTGTGGGATTTTTATCATCATTAACGTGTTGCCGACACTGGAAAATTTCAATTATTTTTGGATTCACATATTATTTATTTCTGGACTCACATCCAATCAACGATTTAATTTCGTCATTGGACAGGGGAGGGGTGCGTCATTGGACAGGGGAGAGTTGTTCCTAACACCTAACCACTATACCAATTGACAGAAACACCAACCACATAACTTTTTTTACCCCAACATTTTACCTATATTAGCCTCTGTACCCCAATACTAGCCTATAGACTGCAACAGTGACCCCTAACCTTTATACCCCAATACTAGCCTATAGACTGCAATACTGACCACCTAGCCTCTGTACCCCAATACTAGCCTATAGACTGCAATACTGACCACCTAGCCTCTGTACCCCAATACTAGCCTATAGACTGCAACAGTGACCCCTAACCTTTATACCCCAATACTAGCCTATAGACTGCAACAGTGACCCCCTAACCTTTATACCCCAATACTAGCCTATAGACTGCAATAGCCTCTGTACCCCAATATTTGACCTAAAGATAGCAACACCGAGCATCTAACCATCATATTTCAATATTTAACCTATTGACCACAACAATGACCAGCAAACCTTTATACACCTAAACTTCGCCTATAGACTGCAAAACCAGCCACCTAACATTCAGACCTGCGATCCCCCTGAAGACGTCTTTTTATGACGAAACGCGTCGGGGCGGGGCTACACTACTCGGTACCACACGCAACCAGGAAGTTCAGAGGTTTTACTCACAAACGTGTGAGCGGCCGTTTTTAGCAATTTTAAATGTAAGTGGCTACTTTTTTTTGTTTAATAAAACGTTCGATCGACTACACCATGAGGAGTTCTTGTCCCTTTTATATTTTCTATATATATTTTTTATATTTCACATTTGAAATTGTATATATTTGATCTACCACTGATTCTAATTTTATGCACTCGTGCACGATTTGAGACTTATGTTCACTGACTATTACTGAGGTTTATGATTATTAACACTTATTCATCTTGCTAACACTGATTTAATTCACTCACTGGTGACTTTGGGCGCTGCACATCCAGTTACATACCATTTGACCCGAGCGGTCCTCAGCACAGCAGCTCTAATATATAGATATACATTTTTTTATTTTTCTATTCATTCTATTTAAGCATCTGTATCGATCCATAAGCGAGGATTATACATATTTCAATTCCTTTATATACCCTTAAATTTACAAAGGGTAAAACTTGTGCTTACTTTTCTAAAAATGCCCAGTTTTAGCTTTTCAGCCTACAAAATATGAAAGTCTTAGTCTTCTAATATGTCAGTATTGTGGAGCAGACTGAGTCAAGAAAAAGAAACCCGTTTATCTTTTAATTCTTTTATTCTTCCTCCTTTAAGTTTTCCTCTTATTGCCATCATAGTGTACAGCAATGGAACATAAAACACACACAGCAGAATATTTCTTATTACTCTGCAGAAATGTGGAGACAAAGATTAGACTCTATCCCCATTCACAATAATGATATACATAAAACAATTAGTTTTATAGTATAATGTGAATCATAGCAAGAATTCATGGTGGGCCACTCGATTGTACAATTCAACTATATTTCAGAATAAAGAAGAAAATATTGCAGGCACGTCTGTTTTCTTCTCTCAGCTGTGAATAACATTTATAATATAAAAAAAACTATGCTCAGCTGAAAAAAATATATGTACTCATATCTTTTTATAGAAGAAAATCTAAAGTACAGGACTATAATCTAGAAACAAAAAAATAAAATACAAAGCTATTATTTAGAAAGTTGATTCATAAAAAAGATACAAATTAGTTTTACAGTAGTATGCCATAAAAAACAGTGAGTGTGAACACAGGAAAGAGGATTTCCACCCAGCTGTAAATCTTTCTTCCTTCTCTGAAACAGAACTTATCATTAAAAATCACACTTTACATGAAGCCACAGGGCACAGGTCAGCTTCACCAAAAAACACATATGAAAAAGTACAGCGTAGGCAGAGATAACAAGATATTTCTTTACCATGGGCATTGTGAATATGAGAGTAGATTTTTTTCCATGCTGCAACAAACGTTGCAGATAAATTTTAATTATTTTGCACTGAGGTGTTACCCTATGCTTATGTGTAAAGGACCCAGGATATAGATGATGGGCCCAGTCAACTGCAATATGGGCTTACTGTCAGGAGACGAGAACTGTTTGAGATATAGTTTAACTGAGAGCAAGTTATACAGGCAGCTGGGAGGAGATACCTTTTAAAGGAAACCTTCCTTCAGAGGAAAAATGGAGGCTGCCATTACTGATGTCTCACTCTGCATATGCTCATTTCTTGATTGCCATATCAACCCTCTTGCTTTTGACAGCATAAAATCCAGACCGGTAACGTTTTCACTGGTGGTTACCAATGGCTGCCTCCTTATTTCTCTTAAAAAAGGTTTACTTAAAGGGCCTATTTATACTGTGGTGAGTTGATGGGCGCTGCGCTGGGCAGCCCATTGCAAATATTGAGCTGCCAATGCACCAACACTTCTGAAAAATCAGATGTGTCACAAACGCATAGCACTATGGTGTTGTGGTATGCTGCAATGCATGTGCACTGGAGTGACATACAATGAATGACGCAGCAACACATGTGAGATACACTGGTGCATGTTACCACAATGTAAAGATCTAAATGGACCCTGAAGGAAATCTGTGAGGGTAGAAATATGGGAGCAGCCATTTCTGAATGGCTTCAGGGCATTCACCAGGACATTAATACCTGGTGAATCACTGAACAGGCATGCAGTAAGTGAAGTGTGAACTCCTGAATCAGTGTGCTATGAAGGCAAGATCAGGGTGACAACCCAGAGCCTGCACCTTAGGAGCAAGTCAGCAATGGCACCTCCCAGCAATCTAACCTACAGATTCCATTTAAAATACATCTGGCCCACAAAAATCAATGTGGAACCTAGAAGAACCATGTGGTCTGTCTAAGGCAAAATTGACTAAATATAAAATTATCTATATCACAAAAAAATGGACTGTGTGCTGCTATAAAATTACAGGGGGTATAAAAATTCATATATGAAAAATATAGCTACAGGTTCCTTAGGTTCATGGAACCTGCTCAACTAAGATTTAAGCTAGACACAGGTTACAGTTAGATTGGACACCAGCCTTTAGATCTACCAATACATATATAGTTCAAGAGCTGCCTAAACAATGCATTTAAACCCACAGAGACTGTACATTCAGATTGTAATGTGTGCCCAGCTTTAATTTGGCCGAAGATAGGCAGATAGCTCCCAGATTCATTGGAGTGCTGGGCCAGTTTTCGCCACATGGTAAGGTTGGCGAGAACTGACCCAGGTAACCCCTGCAAGCTGGAAAATCAACCTGTGTGATAGAAAAACTCCAACCACTGGGGGCTTTCATGCCCTAGGAGGCTCGAAATGGTCCAATAGTTATCAGCATTGCTTAAAGAATGACGCGTTGCTGCTTGTTACGCCACTGATGGCCACACTTCAAATGCCATCTGCAGCATCCGAATGCAGAGGAACAGATTGCTTCCCAAAACTAATACTGATGATGTTAAAACACAGAATGATAAATACTGCAGGTGTGAAAGGCACAACTACTATCAGTAACAGAGAATGCTTTAATCACTAATGAAATCCCAACTGACTAGACATCTACCATAATCTTAAAAACATTACGAAGGCCAAATCAAAATTTGGATTAATGGAACCTCAAAGCCACCAGGTGTTGCATTATGGTCGACACCAGTAACTGTAACAGACAAAAGAGATTAGTCTGGGGGTACAGCAGAACCTTTGGTCCACATAAACAAAATAATTATATGATAGTCAAAAACTGCAATTACAACGGAAATCTTGATCATTTTGTGAAGGCATAGCACCAAGTTGCTCTGGTCCTGGCCCATATTGCAGGCTGAATTCTTAATATTTGGATGCAGATCTGTCTGATCTGTAGAAAATCAAGCAATCACGAATCAAGAACTGCTTGCTTCTCTGCAGAACGCACATGTTCAAGAGAATACAAAATTAGCACTTTCCTGATTTGCTTACCACTCCTTACAATCGGAACCGTAAATTACAGAGGTTCATTGGAGGTTTCAAGTACATTGTACAGACTTTTATAGTATGCTATACATTTCCATAGACCATATAAAATACATTAGGAGCAGATGTATAATACATCTTAGGAGAGTCAGAGTATGCCCTAATAACATTTCTCCAGCACGTCTCTATAAATTTCAATATTCCCACTGTTATTCACTATTCAAATAAAAGTGTAGTGGGGGCATCATAGAAGAGGTGCATTTGCTGCAAAAATTGTGTTCTATTAATTTTGATTCCATTAGACCTCTAGCGAAACTTCTAGAGAAGTATTTATGTTCAAACAATACAGCCTTGTAATCATGTGGTTTCCTCGTCTTGTTTTTTCTGAAAAACATAAGCAAAAAACATTAGATAACAAGGTCCCATCATGTAATCAGTAAGTGGATTTTCTGTGGTGCTAAGAAGCCTTGCTTTTTTAAGTAGTTTAGTAACAGCCCTTGGTTATGACCTGCGACAGTACTACCACTGAAAGTTACATCAATCAGTCCCCCAAAACGGTCTGGTTCCTAATGACAGATGACTGTTAGGAGGATGGCGTTTACTACCGTGTTCAACAATAATATTTGTTAGTTGGTGTCTAGAAGTAAGACATTGTATGAAGCAGGTTTTATCATTTGCTACAAAAAGTTATGAAGTATTGTTTTCTTTCCAAAAGGTACAAAAAAAACCTAAAAAGATGTACGTAAATATTTTTTTTTGCCTGCATTCCTTTAAGAACTTCATTTGAAATGAACATTGTAGTTTAGAAGTTTACAAATGTTAATTATATTCTACCAAAACAGGGTACTGCACACACAGTGGATTAATGAAAAAAAGCAGGTTACCATTTCAATAATGTTTGTACTGCACAATTGAAAATATTGTACATTTAATGTAACAGCTAAAGTGTCTTCAGGTCAGAGCAGATATTTCAGTTATAGGTGAATGCTGCTGTGCTGAGCCAACCACACATATATCATCAGGTGGTCCAGCAGTAAGATCTCCATACAAGCGTTCACTTGCCATGCAACATCAGAACAGCACAGGGTTAATACAGGGTTAGTCTCTCTTTTCCTGCTAAGAAACAAAAATTCCACTATCGGAGTTCCAATCGGTACAAAACAGAAATGTTTCTAGTGGATTGACCACATAAACTAAAACTTCGCAAAAGAATTGAAAACGTCCACACAATCTTGTCCAGACTTTGGAGAATTTATTGGGCATTAAAGTATTATTAAAGTCACTTTTTTTACATATATCTACTGCTAGCGAGCAGTAAATATATGCAAAAACATGAAAAAAAAAGTTACAAATAAAAAAGCTACCAAATAGGTAAATACTTACCTGTGTCTCCGCCGCTCGC